TAAAAGACAAAACGAAAATGAAACACGTGATCCTGTGCATACAAGTGACTTTAAAACACAGCAGTCTGACTGTACATCCCCAGTGAGATACTCAAATAACAAAAATAATTGGGGTTCAGGGGAGAGAAGAAAAATTGTAAACTGTTTTCACCAATTTTATTATTTATGGTCAGGTAGAAAGTGTTATTCTGAGATTATTATGTATGAATCTTCTATAAAACAAATGAGTAATTGTTAGTATCACTGAGAAGCAGGATTTTCAGCACAGAAGAAAAAAAATACAGAATGATGAAAGATCAATGAAGCTGAATAAGAAATCTGTAAATCTGAAGTATCAGTATGAAGATTACAAACAGAATGAATGTGTACATACAGTCATGTGTCACTTAATGATGGGAATACATTCTGAGAAATATATTCCCAATACATTTTTTGGTTGTGTGAATGTCACAGAACGTACTTACACGAACCTAGATGGCACGGCATCCTGCGCACCTAGGCTGCAGAGCTGTACTGAATACCGCAGGCAATGGTACGCATTCGTGCATCTAACCACATCTGAACATAGAAAAGGTACAATAAAAACACAGTATTATCTTACGGGACCACCATTGTATATGCAGTTTGTCACTGATCAAAACGTCATTATGTCACACATGATTGTACTTCTTAGCTCTGTCCCCTAAATGATCAAACAATGACGAAACCAGTAGAACTGAGCACCTCAATGCCAGGACTATAGGGTGCATGTGTGTGTGATATATATAGTCCATATAATACCATTTCTGAAAAAGCAAACAAAAATCTTTGGAAAAATGTCTGATTCCAGGTCTGAGGAAGGAAATTACAAGATAAACCTGAACTATCTTGTTACCAGAAAGTAAGGAAGTTATCAAAGAAAACTTAAATACTGGCCAGATGCAGTGGCTCACATCTGTAATCCCAGCACTTTGGGAAGCCAAGGCGAGAGGATCACTTGAGGCCAGAAGTTCAAGATTAGCCTGGGCAACATAGTGAGACCCCATCTCTGCAAAAAGTTTTTTAAAAATTAGTCAGGTATGGTGACGTGGGCCTGTAGTCCCAGCTACTCAGGAGGCTGATGCAGGAGGATCATTTGAGCCCAGGAGTTCGAGGCTGCAAGGAGCTATGATCAGGCCATTGCATTCTAGCCTGGTCAACCAAGCAAGACCCTCAAGACTCTGTCTCCTGAAAAAAAAAAAAAAAGGAAACTTAAATACTACCTAAAGATAGGGCAATTTGAATATTGATAAGAGTAATTACTGCAATGGATTAGAAAGCATCAAAAATCTATGTTTATATTAATACTAAAGAAAGAAAAACTTACTGACCACCTTCCAAGGACATTAGAGAACCAATTCATTATCCTGAAAACTGGCAAGTAAAGGAAAAGAGCCAAGCATTTTACTGTTTTTTCTATATAAACTAGACCTCAGGGTAACCAAATAATGAAAGGAAGTTCTCTTTTTGAAAGTATTACAGCTAATAAATAAAGCAAACCGTAATAAATTAATAGTCCTAGCTAGTGATCACCAATTGCTGCTAACATCAGTAGGAGAGATGAAGTACCCAACATCTATGAAGCAGTACGGCAAGAAAAAAAGTGTACGAGTATCAAATCTGAATCTGATCAAGCCTCTACATCGGGGCTGGTTTCATGGATGTAATCTGTGCAGTCGCACAGGGCTCTGAGTTCAGTAGGCCCTCATGTGTGGTTTAATGCTCTGCTGTCCCCATCTTGAAATTTGAACAAGAGTTCCCACGTTTCCTTTTGCACTGGGCCCTGGAAACTACATAGCATCCTTGTCTATATCTGACTACCAATTTACAGGAAAGAAAAGTGTGGTGGTTTAAAAAATGTCCACACATTCTTTGATACTCTTTCCTTCAAAAGATGGAGCCTAATTCCTCTCTCCTTGAATATGGACTGTACTTTGCGATTTGTTTCTAATGAATAGAATGGATTGGAGATGATAGTGTGTGACTTCCAAGATAGATCATAAGACACTGGCATTCACCTTGCTCTATATCTAAGATCACCTGCACTGGAGTAAGCCAGCAGACACGTGAAGAAACTCAAGCAGTTGTGTGGAGATGTCCATGCAGTGAGGGACCGGAGGCCTCCAGCCAACAGCCATGTGAGTGAATCATCTTGGAGTGGCTCCTTCAGCTCCAGTCAAGCCATTAGATCACTGCGACCCCAGGTTACAGTTTGAATGCAACTTCGTGACAGGCCCTGAGCCATAACCACTAAGCTAAGCCACTCTTGAATTGCTGACCCAAAGAAACTGTGAGGTAACGTTAATTATTGTTTTAAACTATGTTTCGAGGAAATTTATTACAGAGGAATATGTAACTAATGCAAGAAGAAACAAGCAGCATGTTAAATGACAGCATGGGGATACAACTGGTAAAATCCAGATCGTGGGAAACTTACAGGAAAATAATCCAAAATCTTCAACCAAAAAATGTCAAAAAAAAAAGTATATCATAGGGATCTTTTTTGGATCTGGATTCAATCAAACTATTTAAAAAGTTACAGGACAATTAAAATTGTGCATTTAATTGTTATGAATATCCATGTACAAATATCCATGACTGATATTTGATGATATTAATAAATTATTGCTAACTTTTTTAAGGAGGTGGGTGTGATGCTGGTATTATAGTTACGTTTTAAAAGGGAAGTCTTTGACTTCTAGAGATACATGCTAAAACCTACAGACGATATGTCTGGAATTTTCTTCAAAATGCTTATGGAAGGTAGGGAATTGGTAGGGAAAAGGAAATAAGATTGACCATGCATGAGTTGATCCTTATTGAAGCTGAGTGATGGGAACATGGAAAGTTCATTATGTAATTCTCTATTTTTTATATGCTTGAAATTTTCCATAATAAAAATTTAAAAAGAGTAAGTATGCATTTACATCAATACACAAATAACACACCACCACATTTAAGAGTGGGCATAATAAAAATAAATTACAAGAAAGACAAAAACCATAAGGATTTGAATGTGTTACTATCTAATATAATTAAAAGTAATTAACAATTTTTGAATGTCAAAACCCAAACCCAGACTCCACATTACTAACTAATGAATCTATTTAAGGAAATATTCCGGTATGAAACTGGTATCTTTGGCACATATTATTTGATTCAGTAATCCATAATAACCTCAGAAGTACTAAGCCTTCTAATTGTTTGATTCAAATCATAGTCATATTTAGTCACCAGATGGACTTTCTTCTTCACCTATTCGATCATGTTAGAAAGAGAGTATAAATTAGTGCCTTATAATGACTCATGATAGACTTTTATCATCCACATAGGAAAGCAGTGAAGAGAAGGTTATGCTAACCATTTGATGGTAAGAGAGACATAAACAGATGCTATTCACAAGTCTCAGTGCGCCAATGGCAATTACCACCTGTTCTGCTTCATCTATTAAGTGCTATGCATGAAAAAGAACCCAAGAGACAGAAAAATCGTGCAGACACAAATCTTTACCGCAACAATTGCATTTTAAATTCTTTCATTAAAAATACACACCATACGTACTTACAATAGAGTAATGTGAAGAATATGCAATTGCATGACTACCCTGGGCTGAGACCAGATGACTACAGCAGGTTCACAAGGGTCTCGTCTCCATTCTCCTTTCCTTTACAAATAGGAGGGAGGGGTTGTTTGCTTTATGCAGACACCTTAGGAAAAGAATCAACCTAAGATGCCTCATTATTTCTCATTCTTACCAAACCAGAATCTGTGATAACTCATGGCTTAAACTTGACTGCAGGTATCATTAACATAAGGAGGAGGATTGATCCACGTATAAAATTGTGAAGATGGTTTCATTTTAACTAAAAAAAAAAAAACCTGAGAGAAAAAAATATTCCAACACATAGGTTGACATTAATAATGGATGTAGCCCTGGATGACAGGATTACAGATCTATGTCCCTTCCTCCCTTTCTTCTTCCTGAATTTTAAAACATATTTTTTCTTGACTTGCATGTATTCCTTTGGGATTTTGTTTTGTTTAGTTTCGTTTTGCCTTTTGGAGACAGGATCTCAGTCTGTCTCCCAGGCTGGAGTGTACAGTGGCACAATTATAGCTCACTGCAACCTCGAATGCCTGGGGTCGGATGATCCTCTGCCTCACCCTCCCAAGTAGCTGGGACTACAGGTGCACTACACCATGTTCAGCTACTTTTTCTATTTCTTGTACAGACAGGGTCTCACTACATAGTCCAGGCTAGTCTTGAACTCCTGGCCTCAAGCAATTCTCCTGCCTCAGCCTTCCCGAGTGCTGGGATTACAGGCGTGAGCCAGCCACCATGCCCAGCTTCACGTATGTCTTTTTAAATTAAACACTTAAAATGTGCTATTATTGTTATTTCTATATGAGAAGCTTTAAAAAGATTTTTATTATCACAGTGACAGGTTAATAAATGTTCATTTAAAATTTAAACATTTTATTCACTAAAGCAACTGCAGATGATATATACTTAAAATCTGTGCCCAAGTTATTTCAAAATATGTGTTCTCATAACAAACATAATCAGAATGGCCTCCTCTCAGTATGGATTATTGACATGTTGTTACAAATAGAGGCTATACATTTCTTCTACCAATATGTCACAGAAATATACTAAGCATAATCAGTTCCCTATTTCATTAAAACCACAGGAATTTATTGAACAAACCAATAGTTTACTGACTGCAAGGTACTGTGTTTCAATGACCATTTGTCATACAGCAACAATAATAAATACCTATGAGAATGGACAGATAACTCAGCCTCAAAGAGAAAAACAATGAACAAGAAGGCTAAACAAGAAACCTAAACAGTCGCACACAGGAATATTAAATTTTCCTTAAGTGTTTTAAGAAATTAAAAAAGGGCAAAAAATACAAAAAAAATGTGTTTATAAAACTATCATGATAGTCTGTAAGCTGTCAAATATGGGCCATACTTACCTGAGGTCATAAGCACTGCCTTCTCCTAGAAGGAACATATAGCTCTAAACTTAAGAGATCCAACTTTAGCCTTTAATGGAATGCAGATACATCCATCCTCAGTTACCTTTCAAATAACCACCCTAAGTTATACAGAGCCATGAGTAATGACATCTCTCGGTTTGGGCTCAATCTACATGTTAACCTTGACATCTATGTGTGACTGAGAAAGAGAGAAGGGAAGAGGCAAGTGCTCCGGTATAGGAAACTAAGAGGAATTAATTGTACCCAAGGTGCTAATATTGTGTTCCTAGCTCAAAGGAAAAGCTTTAGAGATCACTTTGGCTTAGAAATCCTCTTCAAACTGAGTATATGAATGAAGCCAGTGGGCTGAGCTTCCATTTGCTTCAATTCCATTTGAATTCATGAAATTGGAAGAAAGCTGTATGTAGATTTTCTGGACATCCCCTCAGAGGTTTAAATGTAAAACACTTGATCTTAAAATGGCCATATTACTGTACTAGCACTTCACCGCCCTTCAACCATTCCCCAACACTTTAAATCTTTCCCCAGTAGCACGAGGCATCTGCTGGCAATAATTATACTAAGAGTTCCTCTTCAAACAAATATTTCAATAACTAATCAGGGAATATAATTAAAGGAATATACTTCTGAGAATACAGAAAAGTATAAAACAGAAGACGAACTTTTACATGAATTTTCCAACTTCTTTCTGTATCTCACCCTGATGAAAACTTGATGAACAAGTTCACTGTTCCAGAAAAAACATAACGTTGTTTATAAATACTCTTTCTTCAGTTATTATTTAGGATATGTTTTTGAGGACCAACAAAGTTTTAGAATTTTAAGGGGTAACCAATCAAAAGTACTCATCTCTCCTCCAACAGTACCTCACACAATAACTCGAAGATACATAAAACACTATTTTCAAACAGGTTTATAGTTGGACTTAAGTGGAAAGAGATCTACAGTTAGAGATGCCAACTGGTCATGGGACATAAATATGACAGCCTGTCAGTGAAAGACTGTCACTGTCATAGGCTGTCACGGGACACAAAAGGAGTGTCACCGATCTCCGGAAGTAGGGCCTTCAGAAAGCTGCAGATCAAGACACTTTTCATTTGGCGAAATGGGGAGAGAAATTAGAAAAAAGCATGTCCAGGTTACTGTTATTACGTCAAATGGTCAGAGAAAGATATCCTATGACAAGAAAGTTCAGTAGAAAACATACGGAAAACATGGGATCGAGGAAGGCTGAATCTTGGTAATTGTTATTAAACTGCTGCTTTGTGCCCTGCCCCAGTAGAATACATCACCATTAGAAAACTACTATATTAGGGTTCTTCGTGAGGCTCACTGGGACTTTAAACTGAGAGTATTAAAGCATCACTATGCATGCGGGGCAGGTCTTAAGATTCACACTAACTAGATATATCATTTTGATCAATTATAACTGTAACTTACCTACCACTATATATTAATACTTTTAGATTACATTTATCACTGAGAACTTGCCGTAAGTCATAAAAATCATAAATATTTTATTATAAAAGCTAGTCTAAAAGAAAGATACATCGTATACAATAAAGTAAAATCATATATCAATTTTAACTACCAAGCACTTTTAAATGTTTCTGAAATTTTGATTTTCAGATATTCAAGAATAAGAACTCAGTAAGTTATGGGTAATTGAATTTTTATTATATTTTGAATATGAATGAAACACAAAAAGACACCCTCAAATTTAAACAATATGTACACTTGGTTCTAACAAAAAACTGGTGTTATATTAAACATCAGAGATACAGGGTTTGGAAAATAAAGATTATGACAACATTGTAAAAAATGGTACATGGTACATACAACTTTAGAATTTTCTACTAAATTTAATTATCAGAATTTCCATCTGGTTTTCCATGTCTAACTTTATTCCTGCCTGTACACCCACGTTCACACTCTAGCTCCACCCCACAGGCGGCTCTAATCTTCAGTAAGAGCTGTTACCCCTTTGGATCTTAACGCTGCCCTCATTCAGCCCACCTGCATCACTGCTTTCGTCATCAAAGCCAGACATGGCTGACCCACTCCCTGCTTTAAGCCATGGGATCTCAACAGGACAGAAGACTAGCCTGTTTGGCCCCCGTCTCTGGTTGTCTTATGGTGACAGTAATGCTCTCATAACCTTTCTCTCAGGGCCAGTCTCTACAGCCTCTTACCATAGCTCACTTGATCTAGTGTTTAGTTCTTCCTGGCTCTAGATTAAGCAAGTGTAAAAATCCATGAGGTGGTGCCTCATTAACCTAGGATTCTGAGGTCTTTATTTCATAGGTTGTTTGATAACCTATGTAGATAATAACAAGGAAAAACACTATAACATTAATAGAATTGGCTGCTACTGCTGCACAGGAACAAAGTTGCCCTCCGATTCTGGGGCTGAATGGAGCCTGAATGTCACATTTGATGCTAAGTAACTCAGCAATATGTACCTTTATTTCTTTAAAGATGGTGCCACAGAAATGGCCCCTCAGTCTCCTGATTAAAATCCTAAGTATGGTAAAATGCTTGTTTATCTAAAAACTGACCTAATTTTTTTTCCCAACTGAGCATGTTTTGGAGTTCAGGTCTGTTCTTGCCTTTGTGGATTAGAAATGGGGTATTTTTTAGCTAAAGAGTATAAAGAAAGTGGAGGGGAAAACCCTGCAATATGACTGATTTTCTAAATTCCTTTAAAAAAAAAATTGCCCCTGAGTTTACATGTGAATATCAATTCTTCATAAAAGTAACTGAATTAAGACATGAGAATGAAATGTGATAAGACAGGAAAACTTGTTCATTTATAAACATAAGAGATATTCAATCCCAAGTAAAATAACAATAATAAGAGATTCAATAGCACAGTTACATACACTTTCAGTGAGGTTTCAGCATTCCAATTCTGAGCTGCTAGCACCAGGTAAACACGAATCACAGGTAGAAATATGCCATGTTTAGCACTAGAAGCAGCATCACAGTTCATTAGCAGATTATGGTCAGGTAAATAAATATTACAACATAAAATGTACTGTTGATGAAACTGCAATAAAGTAACATAAGT